TTTGGATCTGATTATTTTCTTTTAGCATGAACGAGGAAGTGACGTCACCAGTTTGCTAGCTCGGCAACTGAAAGAAAGCAGTCCAAATGCCAAAATTAAACAGGGAAACTAAGGCCATTGCCGGACCAAGGAAAAAATATAGTTTATGTTTCGTAATCATACGATCGTCATCGACTTCCCACACTTGTTACGGGTGACAAGAAAAATTTAGGGGATACACATCAATACGTAACGAGCACAAATTTCAAAAATGATCAAGATCCATGTATTGATAATATTGCGAATGTTGAGCCCAATGAGAGATCAGAATTCCAAAGGATTTTGTAACCGTCTTATAACAATCAAGTTTACTGTTTACTGTGACCTATCCTGACTAACCGTCCCTGGGTCTGCAAGTATGAAGCGAAAGTGATAACACAACACAAACTCGTACGAAATTGATAAGAAATAGGAAAGGTCTCTCATTAGAAAACATCGGGTTTTTTCAGTTAGATTTTTTTCATATATATATGTATATCCCTCACCTCGTTTGAATATAATCTATATTGGCGATTAACTGCGCCACCCTGGTATAATTAGGATTCTGTGATGAATTAGCAATTTTATTCACAAACCAAACTTTAACTGACTTCGTAGTCAAAAAGAGATCTAGATGAGTTTGTCCTTTGTTTTAGATCCAGAGGGAATTCTTTCATATTAGGAAGAAACAAGGATCAGGATAGATTTAATGGTTGTATCAGTATAGCACTGTAAAAGCGCTGCTGGACTGTTATATAATTTATAAGACATTTTGTAGACACCTGCTCTAGTACAGACTTCATTGTTGTCACTGGCGGCCTTACAATCGTTGTTAATTGATAATCATCGCGAATTATACTATACTTTATATGTTCGCCCTCTTGTTTTTTGCCAATCAGTTATAAAAATGAAGCTTAAAATTCTTATAACACTTGGACAGTGGAATCCTAACTTAATCTGATGGAGTATGGGCAATCGTAAGTCAAAAAATAAGACCCCCGTGTTCCTTCCTTCATATTATTAATAAAAATTTAATAGGAAGCTAGAAGAAGGAAAATACCAAGAAAAAAAATACACTTACAGAATAGTATATTATTTATTTCTTGCTAGGTAATCTGGTGCAGATTTACATGTTTAACCTAGTTTCTAATAAATATTTTTCATTTGTGCCGTCATTGGCTTCTTACAATAGTTGTCATTCTGCCATCTTCACATTCATTTAAAAATTCATCTACTTATACACTTTTACAACCGGTAGCAAAAAGGCAGCGTAAATTCTTTCCCGCGCACTTTGAAAAATCGAATGCGTACGGCTCCGGTTCACATTTCGGCGTTTTCTTGCAAACATGATAAACAAAGGGTATGCCACAGACAGTGACAGTTCTGACGCTTTCTGTACATGGCTTGCATGTCACATTAAACTGTTGTTGTGCTTCGATTTCTGCCGTTATGGTACTGCAGGTGACAGAAGATGGCTTAGGGCTTTGAGGTCTGGCGCCAACATATCCAATGGAACCAAACAATAACACCAAGCACCCAGTGAGCGTAAAAATATCGGCGACCTAAAGCAAATCAGCGAGGAAACAAAATTGGGTAAAAGTTTTAGCTAAAATTGGCTGACATGTAATTGTACCTAGTTCAGTTTAAGTAC